AGTAGCTTTAGAAGCTTTAAAAGAAGGTTTCTCTGAAGGTTGCACAACACAAGTCATTGAATGGCGATACGTCTTACATGGTAAAATAAGACGTTTTAGTTCGACTAAAAACAGAAAGATCGAAGAAGCATATGGTAAAATGTCTCCAAATGTGACTGTTGGACTTTGTGGAGATCAGTTTCAACTACATTTTAGGGACAACACAGAAAAAGGCAGCTTATCAGGAGAGCAGATAAAAATCAGCCGTAAGGTTGTGGGGACAAGCGAAGGTAAGGGTTGGAGCATTTCCTCAGCCGATGACGTCTTTTACAAAATATTTGAATTATTTATATGTAGATGAGCACATAGGTTATAGCCATTTTTGCCACTTTCCTTTTCGAAAGTTCATTTTATGGAAGCTGGTTAATGTGTTGGGTCCAATGTGTTGTTCTTCATTCATCACTTGAATGGTTTATTTGGACCCAACACATTGTCCAGCTCACAGTTGGCTTGTTAGCTCAGTTGGTAGAGCGCTGCACCGGTATCGCAGGGTTCAAATCCCGTACGGGCCTGAATTTTTTTTCAGGTCCTATTTTCAACTACTCGTTTCCGTCAGTAGTGTTATTAGCTGCGAGGATCTCTTAATTTTATGTATAGGATGAGTTTAAATTATTATTTGTAAATAACTGGTTCAGTGAGTGGTTTCTGCTGCACTCCAATTCTCAGGTGAATATGACCAAAAGCAAATCAGTCACTGATCTGAGAGTGTTAGACACTTGCGCAAGTTTTTTCGTATGAAAAGTTAAATAAACGATAGCAGTCGATTAGGAATAACTGGGGGTCTGTTGTTTTATAGTAGATCGATCAGTTTCATTCGATATCAGGTTGTTGATAATTTCCGACGATCTATTTGTTAATAAATAGTTTCTGAATTGCTAATATATAAAAGATGGTTGTCAAGGTTCCGTGTGTGTAAGTTGAATCTTCCGAAAGAAGCTGCGAAATATTTTCTAGCTTGATCGACGCTTCCGTGATTAGTGCTTTTAAATAGAAAAATATAGTTAGCGTTCCAACTCAAAATAAGACCCCTTGTGATTAAGACCTTTTTTTTTTTTTTTAGTAGAATACAAGTTTAGAACGAAATTCGTGATAAGTAACGAGATCCACGCACGTTTTTTTGGAACTTAAATTGGTTGTGAACACTTAGAATATTGAGTTACATGCGGAACAGTGCTCGTTTCGTGAACAAACAACATTACTTGAAAGCGAAGAGTTTCAAAAAGTTTGTTTATGAATTAATTTACTTTTCTATATATATTTAAGGTAAATTCCTAAATTAGTAGAACCTACTAGGGAGTCATGTGTTTCATTAGATTTGATAATTAATTGCGAGTATTTCAGTGTTGACTGAGGATTGGGGAGGGAGGGGGGCGAGACAAATGGATCCCTTCCCTTATCCCCTCTTTTGTTCATTCTAAGTCTAGAAGTTATGGCGTGTAGTATTCGCCAAAGTGATACAGTTCAAGTTATCAAAATTAAGAATGAAGAAGTGAATATTTCTCTTTCTGCTGATGACATGTCCTGCTTTTTAAGTAAAAAGTCCTCCTACGGGTATTTGAGTTCAAGTTTGAAATGTTTTTCAAAATTCTCAGGTTTAAAATTGAACGAAGAAAAAACAGAGTTCTTTCACTTGGGGATTTATAATTTGTCTGAATCGTTCCCTCACTAAGTTAAGCTATCAATTCAAATTTTGGGGTGAATTTTGACTGTAATGAGTTGTCTAAAAAAAAAGACAATTTTGAAGCAATCCTCAAATCTATTAAAAAACATTGAGTATGTGGAAATGGAGAGGGCTCACTCTAATTTGAAGAATACAAATTATCAAATCGTTTGCTATTCCTAAAGTTATGTCCAAAGCCTCCCTAAGTCATATTTCGAATGATCTCATACGGGTAGCCAATAAAGAATTTTTTAATTTCATTTGGAAAGGAAAGGATAAGATTAAATGGCTAGCTTTGATTGATGACATTGAATACGGAGGGTTAAGGATGCTTGACTTTGAATCTATGATTCTGAAATAAAGAACCATGTGTTTGCAGAGGCATATTGAAGATTATGCTAGTCTTGGAAAATTTTCTGATTAATTACTTAGAAAAGTCAGTTGTGTGTAAGACAACTGATGTCTTTTGGAGAGAGGTGTTATCATGGCCGGCCATCAATAAAAATGTGATAGTCTCACTCTGATGTTTTGCTTGGTAAAATTGATATAAGACTCTATTGTAATTAACCAATGCTTTTGTTTGCAAAGTTCTATACTTAGTTCTGTAGGTGTAAGCATCTTTAGAGATTTTTAAGGCTAAATTGAAAGCCACTCTTAGCGTATAATTTTTGCTTGCCAAAAGAAGTGGTACACTGGCAAACATTACGAGAGGTGAGATCTTTTATTCCTGTATAAGCAACTCCCCTTTCTACCATTCTATTATTAGCATGGTTAAAATTATAATATATCATGCCATATAAATTCGTAAGCTGCACTTTGTGTGATAAGCTGGTTTGATTAAACGTTCTACTCCCCTGCTCTCTGTTGTATTACGTGCTGTAGAGTTATTGCAGTGGTAGAATTGTAAGCGATGTTTAGTATTGTAAATAATGTTACTTTTAAGTACATTATGTAGTGTTAGTAGTGTAAGTAAAATTAGTGCTACAAGTATTGCTACTATTGCAAATAGTAGTTTTTGAACGTAAAGTTTATTTTGTAAAATATTGTAAGAACGTAAAAAATCTTCCTTCACATAAACAAGGTTTGAAATTTACCATCTTCATTCATATCATCATTGCACATAAGCATCACGTATCGACATTCCTATCATCGCAGTATGCAGGTTTGTTAGCATGAACCTAAATTGCGATAATCCTCCTTTACCTCAGCGCTAAGGCGTCCGATGTACGAATCGGTTGGGAACGCATTGAGTTTCTTTTTCTCCCTGAGTATGCCTATGTCATTCACTGCCGAAAACATTTTCTGAAATTAAATGAAAAGTATTTAACTCTACCATTTTTGGCTGATGGTAGATTCGAATCCAACAGGGAACACTTAAAGGTTTTTATTTAGTTAGATTACTGATTACCGGCAACATCTTCCTTCGTTTAATTGACAAGTCTTCATATTTGCCATTTACGTCGTAATTGTGGACAAGCACCGCTTGTGGACATTGCTTTGCTCATAGTATTCAGGGGGTTTTCCAACATGGACTGTGTTAATTGGTGTAAATTGTTACGAGTGTCCTACAGCTCAGAGGTAGAGCGTCCGAATTACTATGTCCGGATCCTATTGGTAGGATGCAAGAGGTTTGTCACAATGGAATTTGTCTGACGGTTTGGATTACCTTCACCCTCCACACCCTAACATCAGTATACATATTCTCTATACTGTTCTCTAAACATTTCATAAGGTGCTGAATTTTTCTAACAGTCAAGAGCTTCTTTGGTACGTGATCAGTTCCTTTATTCTCCTAACCTTTTGATTAAGGGGTAATATGATAAGGAGAAATTAGATACCAGTCACTCTCAGGGGATGAAGGGTTAAGTGTCCTATAGCTCAGTTACTGAGTGTTTGAGATACTGATCGGTTGGTTGGTCGTCCAGCGTCCGAAGTACGAATCGAAAAGTCGTTGATTGGACTCGTATTGGCAGTATTGGAAGTTTTTTTTACTTCGATCATGCTTGCCAAATCCACTCTATAACATGTTTAACATAAATAACCAGTTACTTCCTTCAATTACTTTATCATTGCGCATAAGCATCACATATCAACAATCCTATGCTTGTAGTGTGCAAGAGGTTTGTCGGCATGAATCTTGTTAAACTGATAACATTACCACGGGTCTCTTATACAGCTGTAGCTGATTGGTAGAGCGCCCAAAGTAGTAATCGGATGGTCGTAACTTCGAATCCAAATGGGAAAGCTCCAAGGTTTTCTCTGGGTATGCCTAGTCACTGAAGAACATCCTTCTTCACTGAAGTCACAAGGCTTGGAATTTAAAATCTTAATTCACATCATGATTGCGCATATAAATCGCTTGTCGAAATTCCTATCCTCGTAGTATGCATGAAAATTTTCAACACGGACCTTGCTGATCCTTTACACCCTAACATCAGTATACATATTCTCCATACTGTTCTCTATACATTTCCTTAGGACCTAACGAGGAGAATCTGTTGAACAACCAAGAGCTTCTTTAGTTGGTGGTCATTTCTTTTGTACTCATGACGTTCACATGGCATTCAGGGTTGATATTGTAAGGATAAAAACTAGATGCCAGTCACTTTTAGGGGTTTAAGGGTTCTTCGGTCCGCATTGCTGCGTCTCTCCGCCATGCCACGGTCTTCACGTTGTTGAGTTTCATGATCGTATCCATGAAATACGGCCAAAAGATGCTTTTGATCTAGCTTTACAAGATTTTCAGGATTCTCTATGAGTGCGGTAAACTTTGCTCCGGCGGGACTGGAATCGTCAGTGAGCTGACTCGCAAAGACATAGACATCCGCCGTGTCAGAGCAAGCCCACAACACCGGACACCGCCCACTCTGGAACGAACTTTGATGCCGGACAGATTAAAAACTGACTGAGGTTTTTTTACACCGTGAGTGGTGGCGTAAAGGGAGGAGTGGGCAAGGGGCTGAAGCCTTTTCCGTATTTGTCCCGAGAATATCGCAAGCGTAGAATAAAATCAGGGTTTCATGATCTTCTCACACATCAATATTATCAGGATCGCCCCTGGTGAAACATGTATGCAAGTGGCACGTTAATGAAAAGCCCTGGCAAAGAAAAGGTCTCAGGATACAGGAGAGCTCCTACCTGGCACGATGACTCAAAGAAAATTTTGAGTGGAGCTATTTGCTTTGCATGGAGTGTGATGAGCACTTCCTCTTATTCTACCCTCCCTCTCATGTTCTAAAACGCTCTGCTGCCTCGTCACGCTTTGCTATGCACTCAAGCTACGAAGAAGTAGTGTCGGGGGTTGAGTAATCTTTTGGCCTTTTAAAGCCTTATCTTCATGACAGTATAATTACGTGATCAATTCAGACCCTATCCGTTAATCAATTGAAGCAGTGACACATACCTTCCCCCTTTTCTTCGCTCAGAAAGGAAATACAGCTCAAGGTTATTTTCGTGAAATGCAAATCCTGCATCGTTCACAATGAATTGCTCTTAAAACCACAAAAAATTAAAATTTTAAGAATCATCATCATGCTCTGAAATTTACATTCAAGGAAAATGAACTCCATCAAAAGATCTGGGTTTGGGATATCCATAAAATCTTATTTTCTGTCATTATAAAACCATTATTTTTCTCCACACTAAAATTATTTAAAATCCAAAAATTTTTTTATAATGATGACTAGAAAGTTAAAAAAAAAGTAGCTCCATTAATATTAAAATCTGGCATTTGTTTACCGAGGTAATGTCATTATGCTCCTTAAAAATCTGTTTTTGTTACTGCCCTTTTTCTCCCAAAGGCAAAGGAAAGAATGTACACAGTCACTCAGCACCCAACCTAAACTCAAATAAAACACAGATGGTGTTCATAGCCATTCTCCTCTAATAAGCGTGTAAAGAACAGGCCTGAAAAAAATCGCTATTCCACTCCAGAATGAGATGCACCAGCAAACTGATATTCTGGATTGTTCACTGAAAGGAGATCAGTCAAAACAGGTTTTCTTGGCTCCCTGGGAATATCAATGGGCACCAAAAGATCCTCAAATGGAGTGTTCCATGGCTGCTGCTTGCCACTTCCCAAAAGCATATAAACGATCCAGCCAACAACATAAATACCAGCAGATATATAGAATACTTTCTGCCACTGTGCCCTTGTTGGCTGAAATGATAAAAATAAATTTTATGGTAAAAAACAACATAACATAATCAAAAGTTGGAATACCGCATTCCTAGAATAAGCACTGAGGTGCTCATTTAAAAATTCTTTCTAAAAGGGGGGCCGTTTCTTGAAAGGAGGGCACTTCTTAAAAATTGTTAACCTGTACTGATTCCATTGTAGTTGAAGCTTAAAAAGTTACAATTTAAGTGGCAACAGAAACAGGCTTTTTGTAGTACCCTGAGGGAGGATGCACTTATTCAAGGAAGTGCTTGTTTGATATTATCCTAGGGGGTGGGTGCTCTTTTGGGGGAGGGCCTCGGCTCTTTTCTCTAGAACTAGAGAAATTTGAGCTGCATGAAGAAAGGAAATGGTGGAAGAAAGAATGAGAGGATCACAGAGAGCAAGGGAATTGGGAGGTAAAAAGGAAAGAGATATTGGCAATAAATTAAAATTTAAAAAAATGAACTCCTGGAAAGCAAACTTGAAATTTTCCTCCAAATCATGGCTTGCATCTACACCATTGGCTTCAATGATGAGAAAATCAGAATTGTTTTCATCACACAATCATGTACAGTTGCAGGTAAGGCTAAAATACATGTAGAGCAGGAAATATCTACATAATTGTTGAGAAATGGGAGTAAACTACAAATGGAACCAACCAGGACTTAATATGACTTAGAGGGTGTCAATTAAAGGACTGGAGTCCTACGTAAAGCTGCAGGGTATGGGAGATACATGGGCCTACTGAAACCTTCTTCACAGGGAGAGGATAGCTCCTCCATGCAAACACTATGGATTACCACACTTGAAAAATAAAGATATGCATTAAAAAAAAAAGCCCTAACAAAAATGTGATAGACTGCTAGATTCTCTTATCAATTGTCTAGTATTCATTTGTGCTACACAGGGAAGTTGATGTTACATCATAACTTACTAAGAACATTACTCCATCCACCCTTCCAAAAGCGGGTGGTAACCCTTTAGACCCTAATATCAGTATCTATATTCTCCATACTGTTCTCCGTACATTTCCTCTGGTACTGATGAGGAGAATTCTTTTAACAATCAAAGCTGCTTAGATTGGTGATCATTTCCTTTATTCTCATGATCTTATCAAGTGATTCAGCAGTATTACTTGATACAGTTGTAAGAAACAAGTGAAATGATATTACAAATAGGAATAAAATGTCACTCTTAGAGTTTAAAGGGTTAATGAATACAAATATGCATTCATTTGGGAAAAATGAATAAAAAATTCAAATCAAAGTATGATACCTCATTGTTGGTTAAATAACCAACCACGTAGGGACCAACCATCCCAGGAATTGTTGCTGCTGAGTTGGTAATTCCCATGAGGACCCCAGCATATCTTGGGGCAATATCCAGGTGATTGACATTATAGCTAGATGTATTAAGTGCTGACATTCCAAGAGCAAGTGAGAACAAAACAACAGCTAGAGTTGTGTCATCACAACCAACATAACTTGTTGACACCATAAGACATGTAGGAATGAGAAAACCTTGAAAATAATACATAGTTATAATTAAAAGGGTCATTCATATCATGGAGCTCTTATCAGTACTTGTGGTTTTACCTATTTTGTGTATTGAATACAAAAACCATTATATGGAAAAATCATTCTGTACAAACACAAGGCAAAATACTGTCCACACTGATCACAAACAAAGATCCAAGGTACTGTACATGTACATAAGCTTGTAATTTTTCGAAAAGAAAGTAAAACTTTGAGTTCATGTACATGCAGTTGTATGGAAGAGGGAAGAGGAAGATGCTGTGCATAACAATTCCAAATGGTTTTTTATGGATTTCAACCTTTGTCTTTAACAGAGTGTGTTCCCTTGGTTCCACAACATAGACAATTTCAGCTAAAGCATTACTAATGTAGTAAATGACCCTAAATGCCAATGGAAAAATGGAACAAATTTTATCATAACTTCACAATAATAAAGTTTTAATGAAGGATGCATCACACAGGATGACAAGTACACACCTCCAGTACCAAATACTTTGCGAACCTCTCCAGTTGTTAATATTTTGTTATAACGCAACCAATCTGCCACTTGTCCCCCACCAACCGAAACAAAAAAAGCTAATAAAAAGGGAATGGCAGAAACAAAACCATTCTGTAACAGAAAAAACAAGAAGTTGTTAAATCATTGATGCATGAAAAAATAATCGAAAGAAGAATTTTTAGTCCTTTCAAAAACAAAGAAGTAATAACTGGTGAAAAGAACCCTTGATAATTAAATATTATTGCATAAGGTGCATGTGTACTAGTAAGGTAGAGTGAGTGACAGATAATGGTATCCTCTGACAGAGACATGCATGGAAATAAGACACCTGAGTGCTACCAATATGACTTGAATTATGAAGTTCTGATTAGTACTTCAGATGCTCTACCACTGAGCTACAGGAGACTTGTGGCAGGCTAGGCTGTTTAACTAGGTCACTAGTGACAAACTTCCTGCATACTGCTAGCATAGGAATGTCAATATTTGGTACTTCTAAGCCATGATGATGTAAACGAAGAGGGTAAAACAATACACAACTCTAGTACTGTAAAATAAGAAACTTCCATTAAACCCAGTTTGAGGTCTCTGCTGTAAGTTATGGACCATATTCAGCAACAAGGTTCCATAACTTTCAGTAATGATTGAAAAGACAAGGTCAGTGAGATATTTAATAAAGTTCTGGGTTGAACTGATAGAAGGGTGAGATTTCAATTCACACAGAATTGTGAAGTCATCAGGCCGAATTATGGTCAACTCGCCAACAGTTCAACTCGCTAATGCCAACTCGCCGACGTATAAAATCGAGTAGAAACGTCGGCGAGTTGGTCTTCAATCCAGTACAACTTATTAGAAGTTAAACATATAGAAAAGTAAAAGATCTTTAGTAAAAGAAAAAATTTTTCTTCCAACAAGGTTTATAAGAACCTCATGGCGAACAAAGAAGGTAAACATCACCAATGACTATAACAGCTTCAGACACGAACAAGTTATGTGTGATAACAACACCGTAAAGAGTCATCATGTCAATTGTTCAGATTTTTTAAAGAAAACTTGGCTTTCTAGTCAAGATCTCAAGGCAAATAAAACAAGATAAACATCGGCAATGACTATAAAAGCATCAGATGCAAACGAGTTATAACTTGTTTGTGTCTTAAGCTGCTAATAGTCATTGGTGATGTTCACCAATGTTCACCAATGTTTAAGCTTCTGTTTGATGTTCACCAATGTTCACCAGTGTTTTTTTACTAAATATTGTTTACTTTTCTGTATGTTTAACTTCTAATAAGTTGTATTGGATTGAGGACCAACTTGCCGACGTCTCTACTTGATTTTATACATTGGCGAGTTGGTGTTGGCGAGTTGAACTGTCGGCGAGTTGACTGGATACCATCAGGCCACACAGTGAAATACTGCCCACTAATTTGACCAATCATCACCCATATACAGACTAGGAGATTCAATGTGGCCTGACATTATCAGAAAAATGAACTTGGCTGTGAAGTTTTAACATGTGCATGTTCATGCCAATCAGCCAAACATTTTCTGTAAATATTTTGTAAGTTGAAGCAAATAACAAAAGTGATGGTATTTACATCAGGGTGAAATGGATAATTATTTCCTTCTGCAATAAAATTATTTCTTTACACAAGTAAATCTGATTTACCAGCAGTATTCACTGTGTATTACAGCTGCATTAATTCAAGTACATATAAAGTAAAATGGAATTCTCTCTGAATGACAACATTTGTCCATTTAATTATGGCTAATGCAAAATTTCCATTTTGTTCAATTGTAATTGATATTTAAGCTTTGACATAAGAATGTGATCAGGTATGAAAGACTTACCTTAGAAATTGAAAAATTAAGAACTTCTTTAAAGTATGAGGGCAAGCAGGTAAGAAAAGTATAAAAACCCCAATTGTTACAAAAGTGTGCCACAATGATGGCCCAAACAGCTGGTGATGTCCATATATGACGCCAAGGGGTGCCATAATTCTGTAAAGAAAAGAATAGACATAATTTAAAAATCAGTGAGGGACACAGTGCCACAATAGGTGGTCAGCTAAATTGTATCTCCTGAAATGTAATGTCTCAAATTCAGGTAAAGAAAAAATTTAAAGTCTGTACTCAAACCAAATGACCCCACAGCTTTTCTTGATTTCTTGAGGTGACTAGGAGTATTACTGTTCCCCCCCTGGATGGGATGCCAATCCATCGCAAGGTTAGCCCCCTGCATTTCATTATGCTTTCCTGAAAATTTGCCAGTACCCATTTATTTTCCTGGGTGGTGAGAGTTACTCTGAGAGAAAAAACTTTTGCCAAAGAACACAACACATTGACCAGGCCAGGTCTCTGACCCAGACCTCTCAACTTGGAGTCCAGCTCACTAACTACTTATTGTAAGCCACCATATGTCCCATGGAAAAATTCAGACTCACATACATTTCTGCTATGGGTACACATACAAAAACAAACTAGTTAAAGTCTGAAGTCTGGAATACAAAGCATACACTTTGATAATAAAGTGAAACAACATTTATTTGCCATACTCTTTTCTTGTTGTCCTGTCCAGAACTTATGCTTGATATGATGTAATCTCTCTCCATCTCAGATATTCTGGGGTGATTTGCTGGTTTGTCATGAACAAAGATCATCCAAATAATGAACCAAAGAATACCTAACATTCCTATAAACAACAAAAAAGAAATTGTTAAACCTTTTACAAATACTGTAAGCATAGTAAGCATAATTATTGTCCTTATTGTTCTGTTTGCATTTCCTGAGGTGCTGACATGGAGAATTTGTTTAACAGTCAAGAGCTTAGATTTTCAGATGGTGACCATTCCCTTTATTCTTTGTGACCAGGACTTTGCTGGTCAATTTAGGGGAGAAAAGGTTGAAGCTGATTCAAATTTCCACACCATGAGATCCCCAAGTGCCTAGTCCCTACTTCTCCATGTTCCTAATTTAAATTGTTTGCAATTGATCCATGCTATTTAATCAAAATTACTACTATTGTATTTCCATCCTATGATAGGAATTAATCATAAACAAAAATCAATTTTTTTACAGCTATATAAAGCTGGAATTTTTTACCGAACAGTGCTGGTTCTCATTGGTTATTTTGGGGGTCCTATGATATCCAATAAGAATACTGTTTCCCATCCCAAGTCTCTGAGCAAGCAAATGACAAAGTCTACTACATCAGAGGGTAACAGTACACTGTTGTCAGTGTGAGTTCTCCTGCACTTACATATAATTCTTTTTTCTTCAAATGTCTTTGTTGTGCTATATATCAACAAATCACAACTGGTTCCACTGGAAACATTCAATTTTGTTTCCCCATCCAAGAGTAGCCATTAAGTCTTTAACATTACATACAATGACCACAGACAAACTTGTGCTCAAAACTGATGAGCTAGATTTAGAAATCAACAGTTTTAACTTTTATTTAGTGTATTAATCAAAACTATAACATATCACCAGCCTGATTTGAGCACTTATACATGTACGTGTCATGCTTGTAATTGGACCGTGTAATACGACAGTTAAAGGGACAGTTAACATGTCATGTCTGTGTCAGTGGACAGAATGCATCATGTTTGCGTGCTGTTGTCTCATATTTTGCCGAGTTACTAGAAATGTTGCTTTTTTTTTCCTGAAAACCTATCAAATATGTCTATTTTCTTTCTCAAATTTTGTCATATTTATGATTAATTGATAACAGGACTTTGTGTCATCCAACCCTGTCTGTAATCATACCTGTGATAAACAAATCTGACCCCTGCTTTGTGGTTGTCCAATTTTGTTTATCACTCCTATGATGAAAGACCAAAGTGGACTCCACTTGGTCTTATTACCATTATTAATCAGTTTCAAATGCACACAGGGCTGTAAATGTACATACCAAAAATATAAAATACAGATGGCCATCCTCCCCAAAGATCAGATGAGCACAGCACACCAGCCAATGGCAAGCCAATTACTGTCCCAATACTAAGGCCTGTTGTTGTGGAAAAACAGGAAAGTAAATATATATGAAGTGCTTTAAATACAAAAAAAGGTTTGAACAGAAGCTCACTCCACTAGAGATATGTAAAAGGTGTATGTGCTTTCCAGTAAATACATGTATAATCTCTTAGAAAGTTGTATAATGTATTTTCTATTATAAATTACCCCCAGGGAAACAGGAAGAAGCCACTTAGACACAGGGCTGATGAGGATAAAACATTAAGACATATATATATAAATTTGAAACACATTCAATTAAAACTTCATATACAGCCTGGGACATTCGCATTTTGATCCCTCACAACATCAAAGCAATAGTAAAAAAAAAAAAAAATTTTGAATGGAACATTTGTTTACTTTACCCTAATACTGCTCTGGCCATATGCTTAAAACACCTATGGGTGGTACACTTTTATAATTACAGTAATCATTATTCTTTCTGTCTACAGGACTGCTTCATTGTAACAAGGGCATGGATAAGACAATAAGAAATGTCTACAATTGTTGAAGGAGGGCTGGTCTTGGGGAACAACGTATGCTGTACCGAATAAGAGTATAACAGAATTTTATTAGTTGTATCAATTAACCATGGATCCACATACTGTTATCTTATTACTAGTACAGCAGTGTATTTGTAGAGAAAGGTTATATTAACCTATCAATTTAATTTTACATGTTCAAGACAGACTTTTCATTATCAATACCCTTGGATATAAAACTTTAACTTTCAGGGTAATACTTGTCTAATAAATTATTACCTGAATAACACAAGGTGCAAAGCTTGCTTCTCTCTAATGGTGGAGCCCAGTTACTCCACATGGCATGCATGGCTGGGAACGTCACACCCTGTAGTGATCAATACAGTTGGCCAATAAATTATTATTAATATTTAATTATAATCATGATTATAATTATAATCTTCATTGTAATGATCATCTAGAAACCAGTCTGAACTCTTATTTTAGTTTACTGTACAGTAATGCATCTTTTCCCCAAACTGAAAATTCATCAATTTGAACTATTGATGAACTGTAATCACTTCTAATCTATCACCTGATGAGCTTCTTTGATTATTAACCAATCAGAATGTCTGGTTTGTTACTTCTTGTTACATTGAATTACCTGAAAACTGCATTTATCTTAACCAATCAGAACTGAGTAATTTCAGGTATATTATAAGTGGTGTAATAACCCATAGGGATGTTGGGGGAACATGAGAAAAGTTTGTAAATCACAAGGTTTACAAATTTTTTTAGCGTTCTCCCAACATCCTCCATTGGTTATTACCTAAGTAAACTGGTGTAAAGTGCAGCCTTTTGTCCTAAAAAAATAAATAATGGGTTAAGTGGAGGAATAAACTAATTTTTTTGAACGATCAGGACACTTATTTTTCTCACTTATTTCATAAAATTTGTTATTCATAGAAAGAACTAAATAAGCAACTATTAAATTGTCTTTATGCTCTTTTTTTCCTGGGTGCATTAAACATTTCCTTATCCAAAAGTTCCACTTTAATTGTTAGTCTATTTTGTTCTTCCTCCAAAAGCAGAGTGAAGCAAATAACTCAAAGTAGAAGCAAATAATTACTCATAATAAATGTGTTAACCCTTCTAAATCAGCTGATAAAAAATGTTCACATCAGTGAATCTGATTTTGGTGAAATTAACACCTTAGAGTGGTTACATTTTACTAAATCCAAAAAACTGACCTCTCCAAAACCCTCCAATATTCTGACTAGAATAAACATCCCAACACTGTGATTTGCAGCAGCAGGGGTAAACAATGTCAATATTGATGTACAAAGTACTCCAAAACCAAATAAGTACTTGGCCCCAACTCGTGCAGCTAACCAGCCACCAGGCACTTGAGTAATAATATAACCATAGAAAAATGACCCCAAGATGAGTCCTGCCAACAGAAATCAAATGAGTTGTATTTACCTAGCTTATTTGCTTGAGCATTGCTAAATTAACAAATGACCTACATATACATGAATCACCTAAAAAGAAAAATCTCTGTTTACCTAGTGCCAAAAGGAATTAAGGTATTACTTTAAGTGCACACAGAGTGAAATTAAAAAACACACAAGATATATGTAACATGTACCATGTTATGTACATATTTAACAAAGATTCCATTTTGCTGTATGGCTGTTCAGTAACAGATCACAGATGACGTTGTGGCATATAAGGTGCAGCTGAGTGTGTCATTGAACAGAATCTGTTCTTATCACATTTTGGAGTCTTCCATGATCTATTACAGTACAGAACCACCACAACAAGATGTTTATTTGTTTAATAAAATGAAAAAGCAAAATGTGGTCAGAGGTGACCTCATATACTGTATACTACTGTCCTTAAATAGATCACCAATAAAAACCAATCAAAATTTGCAAATAATTTAGTTTACCTTATAAATATGGAGTATCCAAAACAACATGGATGTAGAGTGTTATTGAACATCTCACAATCCAATTCAACAACATTTAACCCTTTAACTCCCAAGATCAGATTGTTAATTCTCCCTGTAGCTGCTACACATTTCGATATAAATTAGTTTTGAGAACTTGGTGCTAGATCAAGATAGCAGCTTCTACCTGATAAGTTTGAATTTCCTTGTAAATTAGTTAAAAGAATTTGACATTAGATCAAGATAATAACTTCTGCCTGATAAGTTTGAATATTCTCTTAACATGTTTGCTAAATAAGATATGGATATTATCAGGAGAAGTTCCATGTTAAATATTCTAAGGAATTAAAGCATTAACTTTTAATAGGGAAGATCTGATTTATCAACCCTTTAACTCCCAAGATCTGATTGATAATTCTCCCCTCTAGCTGCTACACATTTCCTTGTAATTAGTCATGAGAATTTAGTGTTAGATCAAGATAACAACTTCTATCTGATAAGTTTGAATATTCTCATTACCTGTTTGCTGGATAATGTGAGGATGTTATAGGGAGAAGTTTCGTGTTAATCACATCTGGGAGTTTAAGGGTTAATTTACTGATCAAGTCATAATCCCACCTTGTGTCTCCTGATCCCACTCAAACTCTCCCTCCTGCAATATAACAGCATGCAGTTCATTTGCCATCAGAACAGTAAATACTATTTTAAAAGAAACCTTCACCGCTGAGAGAAATCTTCGTTTGATTATAAAAAGATAACCTGTGAAGTTTAATTTTGTTGTCATACATGGGAATAAAGCAACCATTGCCAGGTCTTGTCACGCAACGAGATGTTGCTGACGCGCGTTGCGTGACAAGACCAAACTATAATTACGCGGAAGTTGAACATTGCCGAGATTTAAAGACATCATTAAATTATTTTTATCGTTGATACCTTCACATACATATGTATTTTTCACACAAAAAATCCCACACAATCACACACGGGTTGGGCCAAATCAATTAAGTCCTTTAACGGTTGCATAGGGTACGTAGACCTACCTTTTCTGTAGATGTTTTTGATGTGTTTCTTTGGCATTCAGGATTATTCGCGGAAGCCTTCGAATTAGCGTAAGTCGAATTAACCATTGCAACCAAAGCCACACTCAAGTTCACTCGTAACAGGTAAACCACAGAAAAACCTGCGCAAGCCAACATTGCTAGCACGTATCGACAGGGCAAATAACATCCTGAATTTCGGCGAGATTTGCTGGAGGTTTGATCACGGGTGAGTAAGCTTTCATCCATTGGTAGGCTGTGTTCTCATCAAAGTACCTCGTGTTAATCACGGGAATAACTAAATGATAACTTTTTTTTTCGAAATCCGCGGCCTATCCTGGAAACTAGTTGTCACTAGTAGGATTATGGGAAATATTTCGGACGACGCGCTCTAGACAACCCCCTGTTGGGCAACTGTCTGTCTATGTTCCTCCAACTCTCCCCGTGGATAAACTGTAAATATGCCAAATCTGTCAATGAATTAATCCAGTTTATTTCTAGCTTCTTTATGGCGATGAGTGAAATTGCAGAAGAACGACGCTTGGCCGACAAGATCAATCATTTTCCGCTGAACTAGGAGTCAAACGAATGCGCATGCGCGAAAGGTAAGACACCCATAGAACCATAGACAGAAAGGAATGGAATGGACATCTAACTTTTAGGCTTTCGGAACCAAGTTAACGAATTTCCTAAGAAACCCACACGGGTCGGTAATTAAAGGTGAAGTCAAAGAGAATGACTTTTGATTTGGCTTAAAATTTAAAACAATAAGTCAACAATACCTCAAATTTTAGTGTTCCTTCCTTTTCTTAATATTTGTTAGTTTTTATATATTCTTACTGGTGATTCATTTTCTTTTCGCAATTTGTGCATTATCCTGGTTGTTTGTTATGTTTTCCTTCAAAACTTTGCGCGGAAAAATCGAGCTCGACATATTTACGCATGCTTTGCGTTTGATAGTTGTGGTGTTTTTTCGTTCGCTTGGTTTTTCCGCCATCCTATGATCTAAAGCCTGCAAGGATGTCAAGGTTTAAGTGCCCCGCAGTTCATTTTTTTTTTGATAAGAATTAAAATACGTAAACTGTGATCAGTTTTTGTCAATCTCTTTTCAACTGAAAGTAACAAAGTCGGCTTATGTATGCGGGAGGATTTGGAAACAAAATACTCACGGATTGGGGATTTTTGCAAAAAAGAAAAAAAAACAGTTTTGGCAAAAAAATTTCAGCAAGAATTCCGCATTCTGTCTGTTTAAAAGTTGGGAATGTGGATCGCATCGCTATTTGGTCGGGCTCACTCGGGCTCACTCGGGCTCGCTCGGTATGTTGGTGTTTAGAATTAATTTCAGTAAGTTTTCAGCCTTATGACTTAGAGCCCTAGGCTTGCTAGCTTGGCAGGACAGTTTTTAATAGGTCTAGTATCCTAAACATCACTCTCAAAAAACCGAAAAAGATTATAAAAAGGGTAAAATCGAATGTCGTAGAAGAAAGGCAAAACAGATATGTATTTACAGTGGGCGGAACTAAACTGTAAGTGGCAGTGACAAAGAATGTAATTATTTTCCAATTGGTATGTTAGCACGTGGGCCGCTATGGCGTTAATTGAGTCTTTTGTTGTAGAGCGTATTTAAGGTTTGACATTTGTGATGTATTCATCTTAGCTTTCGAGCTTTTCTAGTTTTACCTTAAATTTTAGCTTGCACGAAATTAAGCTGTTTTACCTCTAACCCTCAGAGATTGGCGCGCCTGCATTTGGATGGAGAATACGTTCCCATTTTTCCCATTGGGTTTTGTGGGTTTTCGTATCAGGCGGCGGCACAAAAACGTTTTAGCCCGAGAGGTGATGACTAGTTGTTTACTATTCTGTGTAGCTTTGTCGAACAGCATTAAATACTCGGGCTCCTAGTTCGAGCTGCACATCTACTCTTGTGCATGATTCGTGAATTTAAATAGGAAATAAACATACATGTAGACTCTCATTTTGCAGTTAATTTATATCACGGAAAGTTTTAAGAGTCTTTTAATGCAACAAAGATTTGAACGAAAATGAGGCTGGATCGGCAGATCTAACAGTTCCAACGATTGTAATGAAGGTAGCCGAATTTACATACCCCTGTTGACCCCCTGTTGACTTCTCTGTTGATCCTATTGACCTCCCTGTTTTTCCCCCTGTGGACCCTCCCCTCGTTGATCCCACCTGCAACTGTGACTAGAGGTTGTTGTTCAGGAGGGTCTCAATGGGGGGGAGGGCAAGTTTAACAGCTGACGATTGATTTTTTCGGATTTTGACTACTGCTGGTTAAATTTTAGGGCTTTCAGGATTTATCAAGGCGGTTTTCTGAAGCTGTTCCATTTGGCGATCAATTGCAACCAAGAGTTTATAAACTGCTGTTGACATTTCATTTAACATCAGTGCCTTCTCTGAGCTGTTGTCACCCAACCTGATAGCATGGCCAAACTGCAAATTCGACTCCGCTCCATTTAATTCCTAGCGAGTCCAAACACTACTTCATTGTTGATTCCATCTGATCTGATTCGTTATGGCGAGTAGATGAAGTTGACGTACAATGCAAAATGTCCTAACTTGCAATTGATGATGGTACAATTCTATGCTTTACTACAATATAAGAGTACTCTCTAGTTTAATCGTGTCGATTAGCAGTGGGGTGGATTCAAAGATCAAATTTTGCTGAGTCTTTAATTTGCCGTCCAGATTTTGCAGCGGAAAGTCTAAGAATAGGAAAGTCCCCTAATTAACTCTTCATCTTCATTTTACGTGAATTCAATTTCTGAGTCGTTTTCCTACTCATCAACCTGTGTTGGTTCAAGTCCAACGCTAGTATAGAATTGTGACGTGGTATACTTGTATCGTTAACAAAGGTTATGGTTGGATCTGCTTTCTGGCCTTAGTCAGTGATCTCTGCTCTGACAGTCCTCTGTCTAGTGGTCTGTAGCTCTCTATCCACTCTCTCGTAAAAACTTCCCTTTCTTTGGAAATTGTCTCACAAGACAGAAGTTCCTCAAATGGACAGAATGGAAATGAATAACAGACTGGGGCAGTGGGTGTTAAGAGCTAGGATTAGTAGAGCACTAGCCGCCCACTTTGTGATTCGTCTAATATAAGGGACTCCTTGGAGATGCAACCAATTCCACAGCACATTGTAGGACGCTGAAAAGGCGTGGAGGTTCACTAATTTTCTAAGCTGGTAGAGCTCATATGAGCTGAGTTCAAGTTTGTTGGACTAGTCGTTGATGACATTGATCCTACAGAAATTCTTGCTTTGAATCGCTCTAACGCTTTATCTTCTGCTTAACAATAGAGCTCTCGACGGCTCTCAACAGGCTCGACATGACATGACATGACATGATGTAAGCTTGTCTGCAGTGACTTGGTCGAGAGGCGGGAATAACACTGCGTGGCGTGGCTTGGTCACTGGCCAGAAGAAATAAGTTATGAACTGAAGAAAGTTAGCCCTTTTAGATACTAGCTATCAGAATGTGATTTAACAAAATTGTCAGTTTAGGCGAAAATATTAAGCTGCTTTTATGACGGTTGACGATAAAAATGTGTCCTTTTTGACGGCTGAAGGTTAAATTTTAGGCCCATTGACGGCTGCTGGTTAAATCCCTTTGAGACCCTCGTGTCATGCATCTGAAAAAAGCTTTAGAAATACTCATGCTGGATTTATGTAACGCCGACCTCAAAATCATAATTTATTACTTGGCTAAAAATTCTGGGTTTCGATGGATGACAGACCGCCATTACTGAAGCAAGACACCTCAAGATTTCGTTTGAACTTAAAATGTTATTTTCCATGTCGTTACGTACTGGCGATCCTATCCTTCTCCGGTTTCTGTGTTTCGAACGCTATGAGAGCGAGCTTGAGTGTGGCTTTAGTGGCGATGGTTAATTCAAGTTATTCCAATGTCAAGGCGGTTACGGCGAATAATCCCGAGTGTCGAAGAAACACATCAGAAGAGCCTTCGAAAGAGGTTGGTGATATATTACCTTGTAATGAACTTTCTAACTCAAAAGCTGTGTTATTACCGCACGAACTGGCCGAACTGGCTCGGTTTACCAGGATCTCGTCGCGCTGAATTAATGAAACAAACTTCAATTAAGAATTCGAGATAAGGTGGAGACCGAGGAAGCCCCGTTAGCTTGGATACCGATCATCTGCACAGTAATTTTTTTTCAGATAACAATATATGTAAGTATACCGGACCAAACTTGCTAACAACTCGAGCTATTGCTCGTGTGCACCGGTCCAATCTCTTCTATTCTTAAACATAATTGGCTGCCTTCGTCCATGTTATATCGATTTTCTCGGCAACCAGTCAGGCTATTTCACATAATCGACCTCTTAATGGAGAAATATGCTTTGAAAACTATATAATTTTTATCGATTACCAACTTCGTTTTTCAAAAATTGTCTTCATTGTTCCCAAGAATTAATTCAAATTTGGATGCAGCCATTTTGAAAACATCACAGTTAATTTAATTCGTTTTTGAAGAATCAAAATAGCGGTGTCCCGGATGGAATTAAGGTTCGTATGAGGAAAATTTTCGAGACGTTATTTTCCTCAGCACAACTTGGGTTAGCCCAAATCCCTTTTTTTCTATTCATGATTCTTACGATTGATGATTCATGAAAGGCACGTAAAACACAAAAGAAAGATGAAGAAATGAGACGTTTGGCGGTTCTTGTAATCGTTTCACATCGCCCAAGTAATATTGGTATTGAATGGTTTTTTTAGAGCGGAATGTTTAACTGGGATCAAGAAATGCAAGGTAGGAGTTAGTTCATACTGTGATCAATTTAGACGTCTTGTTATGATGCAAATAGAAAAATGTTAAGGTACAATTAAAAAAGATACAAAAGGTCATGAAAGTGAATTGCTTAGGTCTATCTGGAACCTGAAGAAAGCGGTAAAAAAAGATCCCCTCCGAACCGGTGAAGAGTCGTAACCAAATGAGATGCAAGGACCAATAAGTTTACAAACCGCACCCCACGTTGAGGCGCCATGAAGTGTGAAGAAAATAAAAAATTCCAAGCTTAATCAGGCTAAGGGCATTTGACGTTACCCTGAGCCAAATTTCACTTGGCTGAAATACATCAGTTTCTCACTAGTCTATGATGTCTATAATTTAAGCGGCTGAGTATTCAACATGCAAACATGTTTTTCAACTCCATGCTACTTTATCAGTCGTTTATGTGTATTGCTCTCACTTCAGATACTTTTGAGTCACAAGAACACCGGACTTCGAGGAATAAATATAAATATATTCTAAATGATTTTTTTTATTTTTCTGG